CATTGCCTGGAACGCTGGTGAGCAGGGCTGTTCTTGTCCCTTTGAAGAATACTGCAGCTGAAGGGTTTGTGTGGTTTTATAAGCCTTTTCCTCAGTGAGGATCTATCCCATTGTCACACACTAACTGAAGCCGGGCCAGGCATCCTCCAGCTGCTATTCTGCTCATCTCCAAAGGGCTCTGCCCTGCCTCTGCTGCTTCTGCCCCACTGTCACCTGGAAGCTAAGCCAGCTGCTGAGGCAGAGCTCCTCCCTCCAGCTTCTTCTTCCAGGGAGCCTTGGGCAGCATCAGCCAGGCTGCAGCCCCCTGGGCCTCCCTTCTCCCAGAGGGATAAAAGATCCTTCATCATGCAGGGCTTTAGTTCCTTATTGTGGAGGTACCAGCCACGCTACATGCTTTCTGTCTCTTCTTTGCACGCTCATGTATGTCCCAAAGGGATGTGCATTATTTCTGGATGCTGCTCCTTCTGACTGAAGGTCATTCTGGCAGCTGTCAATGCCATTCCCTCAAGTCAGACCTCACTAAAGGTTTGACATGATGGAGGCTGGCTTCTTCTGTAGTCAAATCATACTCCAAGCCCTCCAGTGAATCTTACTGGTGTTGTGAGGTTTATGCATTTGAGCCCTGTGTAAGAGTTGGGGTATTTAGGACCAGGGAAATCCAACAAGACTCAAGAAACTGTCCTGGTTTCCACCAGTGGGAGCAGGTAGTTTGGCAAAGGGATCCATGTTCGTTGTCCCCACCATCTGTGCCAGCTTTGCAAGAGGAATCCTTTTGAGTTTCAGACTACTCTTAAGTCAGTTCAGACTTCTTTTTTGAAGGAAAAACTACCTGAATTATGATGCAATTACTGATTAATACCCCCTACTCATATATATGAAGATTACACATAAGCACCAACTGAAGGCAGCTAACTTGCCTCATCTCTACTCTGAAGAGCCTGCTTTGCTTCTGACTTGTGCTGGTTTCAGCAAGCAGTGTAGCTTTTTGAATTTTAAAGAACTTGGTGTTCAGGGATGGCTGTGCAGCAGCAAAAGTTAGGGAGGTGGTTTGGGCCAAGATGGAGCCGTGAATAAAGCAGGCAGAAGGTGGAGGAAATAGCAATGTGGAGGAGGTGTGAAGAAGCAAGCATGGCAAACAGCACTTGTTTGTCCCCTGATGATAACGGGAGCTTGTGGCTTTCAGGTGGATCACTGCA